AAGCAGCACATAACACTTGAGGGAACACATAGCACCTCCTTATCCACACCCCTAAGCAGCACATAACACGTAAGGGAACAAATAGCACCTCCTTCTCCACACGGCTAAGCAGCACAGAACACTTAAGGGAACACATAGCACCTCCTTCTCCACACGGCTAAGCAGCACATAACACTTAAGGGAACACATAGCACCTCCTTCTCCACACGGCTAAGCAGCACATAACACTTAAGGGAACACATATCACCTCCTTCTCCACACGGCTAAGCTGCACAGAACACTTGAGGGAACACATAGCACCTCCTTCTCCACACAGATAAGCATCACAGAACACTTGAGGGAAAACATAGCACCTCCTTCTCCACACGGCTAAGCAACACAGAACACTTAAGGGAACACATAGCACCTCCTTCTCCACACGGCTAAGCAGCACAGAACACTTAAGGGAACACATAGCACCTCCTTCTCCACACGGATAAGCAGCACAGAACACTTAAGGGAACACATAGCACCTCCTTCTCCACACGGCTAAGCAGCACATAACACTTAAGGGAACACATAGCACCTCCTTCTCCACACGGCTAAGCAGCACAGAACACTTAAGGGAACTCAAAGCATCTCCTTCTCCACACGGCTAAGCAGCACAGAACACTTAAGGGAACACATAGCACCTCCTTCTCCACACGGCTAAGCAGCACAGAACACATAGCACCTCCTTCTCCACACGGCTAAGCAGCACATAACACATAGCACCTCCTTCTCCACACGGCTAAGCAGCACAGAACACTTAAGGGAACACATAGCACCTCCTTCTCCACACGGCTAAGCAGCACAGAACACTTAAGGGAACACATAGCACCTCCTTCTCCACACGGCTAAGCAGCACAGAACACATAGAACCTCCTTCTCCACACGGCTAAGCAGCACAGAACACATAGCACCTCCTTCTCCACACGGCTAAGCAGCACAGAACACTTAAGGGAACACATAGCACCTCCTTCTCCACACGGCTAAGCAGCACAGAACACTTAAGGGAACACATAGCACCTCCTTCTCCACACGGTTAAGCAGCACATAACACTTGAGGGAACACATAGCACCTCCTTCTCCACACCCCTAAGCAGCACATAACACGTAAGGGAACAAATAGCACCTCCTTCTCCACACGGCTAAGCAGCACAGAACACTTAAGGGAACACATAGCACCTCCTTCTCCACACGGCTAAGCAGCACAGAACACTTAAGGGAACACATAGCACCTCCTTCTCCACACGGCTAAGCAGCACATAACACTTAAGGGAACACATATCACCTCCTTCTCCACACGGCTAAGCAGCACAGAACACTTAAGGGAACTCAAAGCATCTCCTTCTCCACACGGCTAAGCAGCACATAACACTTGAGGGAACACATAGCACCTCCTTCTCCACACCCCTAAGCAGCACATAACACTTAAGGGAACACATAGCACCTCCTTCTCCACACGGCTAAGCAGCACAGAACACTTAAGGGAACACATAGCACCTCCTTCTCCACACAGCTAAGCAGCACAGAACACTTAAGGGAATACATAGCACCTCCTTCTCCACACGGCTAAGCAGCACAGAACACTTAAGGGAACACATAGCACCTCCTTCTCCACACGGCTAAGCTGCACAGAACACTTGAGGGAACACATAGCACCTCCTTCTCCACACAGATAAGCAGCACAGAACACTTGAGGGAACACATAGCACCTCCTTCTCCACACGGCTAAGCAACACAGAACACTTAAGGGAACACATAGCACCTCCTTCTCCACACGGCTAAGCAGCAAAGAACACTTAAGGGAACACATAGCACCTCCTTCTCCACACGGCTAAGCAGCACATAACACTTAAAGGAACACATAGCACCTCCTTCTCCACACGGCTAAGCAGCACACAACACTTAAGGGAACTCAAAGCATCTCCTTCTCCACACGGCTAAGCAGCACAGAACACTTAAGGGAACACATAGCACCTCCTTCTCCACACGGCTAAGCAGCACAGAACACATAGCACCTCCTTCTCCACACGGCTAAGCAGCACAGAACACTTAAGGGAACACATAGCACCTCCTTCTCCACACGGCTAAGCAGCACAGAACACTTAAGGGAACACATAGCACCTCCTTCTCCACACGGCTAAGCAGCACATAACACTTGAGGGAACACATAGCACCTCCTTCTCCACACCCCTAAGCAGCACATTACACTTAAGGGAACACATAGCACCGCCTTCTCCACATGGCTAAGCAGCACAGAACACTTAAGGGAACACATAGCACCTCCTTCTCCACACGGCTAAGCAGCACAGAACACTTAAGGGAACACATAGCCCCTCCTTCTCCACACGGCTAAGCAGCACAGAACACTTAAGGGAACACATAGCACCTCCTTCTCCACACAGCTAAGCAGCACATAACACTTGAGGGAACACATAGCACCTCCTTCTCCACACCCCTAAGCAGCACATAACACGTAAGGGAACAAATAGCACCTCCTTCTCCACACGGCTAAGCAGCACAGAACACTTAAGGGAACACATAGCACCTCCTTCTCCACACGGCTAAGCAGCACAGAACACTTAAGGGAACATATAGCACCTCCCTCTCCACACGGCTAAGCAGCACAGAACACTTAAGGGAACACATAGCACCTCCTTCTCCACACGGCTAAGCAGCACAGAATACTTAAGGGAACTCAAAGCATCTCCTTCTCCACACGGCTAAGCAGCACATAACACTTGAGGGAACACATAGCACCTCCTTCTCCACACGGCTAAGCAGCACATAACACTTGAGGGAACACATAGCACCTCCTTCTCCACAGCCCTAAGCAGCACATAACACTTAAGGGAACACATAGCACCTCCTTCTCCACACGGCTAAGCAGCACAGAACACTTAAGGGAACACATAGCACCTCCTTCTCCACACGGCTAAGCAGCACAGAACACTTAAGGGAACACATAGCACCTCCTTCTCCACACGGCTAAGTAGCACATAACACTTCAGGGAACACATAGCACCTCCTTCTCAACATGGCTAAGCAGCACAGAACACTTAAGGGAACACATAGCACCTCCTTCTCCACACGGCTAAGTAGCACAGAACACTTAAGGGAACACATAGCACCTCCTTTTCCACACGGCTAAGCTGCACAGAACACTTGAGGGAACACATAGCACCTCCTTCTCCACACGGCTAAGCAACACATAACACTTAAGGGAACACATAGCACCTCCTTCTCCACACGGCTAAGCAGCACAGAACACTTGAGGGAACACATAGCTACTCCTTCTCCACACCCCTAAGCAGCACATAACACTTAAGGGAACACATAGCACCTCCTTCTCCACACGGCTAAGCAGCAGAGAACACTTAAGGGAACACATAGCACCTCCTTCTCCACACGGCTAAGCAGCACAGAACACTTAAGGGAACTCAAAGCATCTCCTTCTCCACACGGCTAAGCAGCACATAACACTTGAGGGAACACATAGCACCTCCTTCTCCACACCCCTAAGCAGCACATAACACTTAAGGGAACACATAGCACCTCCTTCTCCACACGGCGAAGCAGCACAGAACACTTAAGGGAACACATAGCACCTCCTTCTCCACACGGCTAAGCAGCACATAACACTTAAGGGAAAACATAGCACCTCCTTCTCCACACGGCTAAGAAGCACAGAACACTTAAGGGAACTCAAAGCATCTCCTTCTCCACACGGCTAAGCAGCACAGAACACTTAAGGGAACACATATCACCTCCTTCTCCACACGGCTAAGCAGCACAGAACACATAGCACCTCCTTCTCCACACGGCTAAGCAGCACAGAACACTTAAGGGAACACATAGCACCTCCTTCTCCACACGGCTAAGCTGCCAATAATAGCTGAAACAGCAATATTTGGCAAATTGTTTGGCTTTTCTCTTTGACATTCCAGCAATTCTCAGACCAATCATGGTGCATTTATATACATGGCCAAGACTTCAGAATATAAGTATGCTATATCTAAACTTGTACCCAAAGCTGGTTATCACATCGAGCAGTGGTTGGTATTTGATATACTTGTCCTGGAAAGCCTGGTCCATGTACAGGTCAAAGGCACAGCCTACTTCTAATATTAGCACCTCCCTGTGGTTGGTGTCAACAAAAACCACATCAGGTGTATTTGGGATGTTAGCAAAGACATCATTGGTAAAGCCAAACCATTCTGGTAGAACTCTAGCGTGCTTGTACATTGCTGCGCTAGATGGTAAGATGTTTTGTACCGCATCAGACACAATGTCCACAATACCGTCATGACGGGCTATGTACAGGCGTTTGTATGCATTACATCCATTTGTTATGTGTGCAATGGATTCTAGGTGTTGTTGTGAACCCTGATGGTTTAAACAGAATGGAGTGTGAATTAGGGCTGGGCGATTTGGCCTAAAAATAAAATCGCTAAACTAATGGACAATTTTCGATTTAAACCTCGATTTCTTTCTGTTTTTTTCTAAACAAACCAGACCAAGGCAAAATGTAAATACATATTTTCTTTGCAAAAAATGCGTCAAAAGGAGGGTTTCTGCCCCATTACTTCTCTTCTTACTTCTATAAGAATAAAACACGGTGAGGTGTAAAATGTGTTTTAATATCATAAAAGTTACGCATACCGTCAGTTTAAATGCTGTTTTATACTGAAAAACTAGAAGTTCTTGTGCACAACCAGTTTTATTCTGAAAATCCTTCATCTCCGGACGGTTAGCATTTAGCATGTGGCTAATATACCATTTACTATAGAGGTGAATTTAGTAGCGATATGACACGGAGTGTTGCACACCGAAACCTACTGATTTCAACACTACAACTATAGACGTGGAGATATTATTATTGCTGAATATTAAATGAAGGTACAGTTTATTTGAATACGTTTGTTTACAGACGTGGGTAGTAGTATGAGACAACATCCGGAACTACCGTAAATGAAACCAGCCGTGAAGTATTTCCTGTATTTTTGGAGTATTGATTACAGCGTTTAAAATGTATGAAATGAAAAGTCATGAAAGAGATAAGGAGGAGAACAGGCGTGTTTAGTTATATATTTAATGTACAATGTCGGAGTCCTCTGTTATGCTCAACAACGAACATTGGAGACGTGGAGGGCCGGCCCCCAGCAGCGCCAACCGGCCCACAGCGAGCCAGCGGAGGAGATATATCAGCTGGAGAGGTGGAGCTCGCTCTCTTCCCTTCGCTGACGAGAGCTTTTTTAATTAAAGCACCATTTGAACCTTCTCAGAGACTCCATTTAATCTCCTTTTAAAGCTTCTCTCCTGGACGCGAGAATAACGAACACAGCATAACAACAGCAGATCGGGCAGAGCTGCAGATCGGGTAATGGCAATGTGGCTGAGTTTTGGGCGCGTTCTGGAAAGTGAGAGAGTAAGCTACTACGGAGTTCCTTAAAGCAAAAACAAATCTGCGGAATCTAGAAATGTTTTTAAATCGCGATTTTTCGGTTCAGGCATTTCACAAACCGTAGGAAAGTAAAAATGCAAATTAATCGTGAAAACCGAAAAAATCGCCCAGCCCTAGTGTGAATGTGAGGGTACCAGGTGGACAGGTTGTACTTAGTGGGTAATACCTGCAGTCTTGCTTTGATGGTAAATGTCAGAACATCCTCACCAACAGCGGCGTTCTTAAACACTGAGTGTGAGACTGAGTGGTCAGCAAACCCCGAACAGGCTAGCTTTCCCTGTAGTCTGAGTCCACACCAGTGCTGCCTGATCTCAGACTGCTTCATGCTGAGCAGAACCCTCCTTGCAGAGTCTCTGTGCAGTTCCACAGTCTCTTCCTGAGGTGTTGTAATGGCTGTGTGGATGGCAAACTTCAGTACTCAGTGAACACATAAAGGAGGGTCTTTCTACCAACGCAGATGTTTGAAGACTTTTTGTTCCTTAAATTCCAGCAGCCTTAAAGTGAACATAAACTAAGTTAGGACTCTGACCCTCCCTCTGTAGTGATAACATTGTGAATGTAGTGTGCTAGTGATTAGTTTGAATGTAATCTCTGGTGTGCACTGTCTACAGATTATGTGGAGTATTGTGATGCTGCTGGCCACGGCCCTCGGTGTGGGTGAGTATCATCTCCTGTTCTCTATGAGATCTAATCTAACATCTCTGTTTAGGGTTTGTTTTACACGACAGCTGACCAAGAACATTTCTTTAATGTATATCACATGTGATGCAGCCTTCTTCAGAGAAAGCGCTCTGCAGCTGGTGAACATTATGGAGTGCTTAGCAGCTGCAGAGATGTGTTGGTTGTTGGTTGAGATGAAAACCAGTGCTAAAACAGTGAATATTGGACACAAACTAATTATCATGTTGCTAAAAAATATTGGCATTACAAATAATCTGGCAGATCGTTCTCATCATCACGGCATTCTTGTTTGGAGATAGGATTGAATAATTCTTTACAAAATAAATGGTGCAATCATTTTTGCATTTATTACAATTTTGCTATAACATCTCTAGAAGGTCTGATAAAGGTCAGTTGAAGCCATATATAGAATGTGTATTCCAACAGCAAAGAATGAAAGGATCACACTTTCCAGCAGATCTTTAAAAAAAAAAATATTTGAGAGGTTGCTGTAACTTCTCATGGCTATTTGACAGTATTACATACTTTATTAATAGTATTATTTCCTTATTGTGAATGATATTCTTTATTTCTCCCCAAATATACAGTATATGTGAGTAGCAAGTATTCTTCCTTTTCTCTCATCGGCCTTTGTGTCAGATTCCTATGCTGTCCATGACCTCCATGAGCGTTTGGCCCATGGCCGCCAGCTGAAGATCTATCTGCCCAAGAATGCAGAGAAGCTGGAGTTCATCTCAGCTGAGGATCCCCGCAAGATCTATATGTACTGGGAGCATTCCAGACTCAGGTAGGACTCCCTCAGGGACAACCTGGGGTCTGGGTGTGGACACTGGCTCTGTTGATTTATTGTTCTGTCCTCTGCAGGACCAACAAAGGCAGGGTGTCTGGCACGGGCAGCGACCGACGCTTGTACATCGACAAGGTAACCAAAGTCTTTGTTTAAAGTCTAAATTGAATCATCGAATGTAAAGTCTACATTTTCTTTCAATAAAAGGAATTGCTACATTAATTGATTTCCCTTTACCTAGTAACTTTGCCCTTAAAGAGCCTGTGACAGCATCCCAACAACTGTTGTGCAATGAAATATTGGGCTACTAGTAATCTCGAACCGTCAGTTTAAAAAAGAAGGTGCGATACCGTTCCGATAAATATCAATAATTTCGAACATCGCGGGGAAATTCCTTCGACTCATTTTGAAGTTTTGGGGGAAGCCGGAAGTGACGTCAATGCGGGAACGCTTCACTGTGCGGCGAGAGAGCCAAACACGGACAACGTGTGTTGTCATGCGTAGAAATGGTGAATTACTGAGTTTAGGCACGTTAATAACGTTGTAATGAAGTTGACTACAGTATATTCATATTTGTCAGTGCTTTCATGTCAAGTCGGCGAACATAAACATAAATGATCGTGGTGAAGATGATGATTACATTAGGATTAAAAGTCGGTAGTGAGAGCTGCTGAATTTCCTCCCGTAGTATGTGATATAAAAACAAATCGATTATTTGTGTAGTTGTAAACTCAAGTGGATGAAACTACATTTATTAGTGCTTTCATGTCAATTCGGCGAACATCTGATACATTAAATGATCGTGAGAATGATGATTAAAAATCGTTTGTTTGAGCCGGTCTGCATTTCCTGATGAGAAAACAAACCGATGCTTTTTGTAGTTGTAGTACACCAACATGGATTAAACGTGTGGTTTTTTCACCACAATGTTGGGGAAATTAATGGATAAAATGCACGGATTATTATTATTATTATTCCCACTCCGATCGGGACACTAGGTCCACCGTTTCCCCGCAGCGAGGCTCCCCCCGTTGACAGTTTACGTGGGCTGGGTGCAGTGGCGGACTGGCCGGTACCGAAGTGGGCCGGTCGGATAAGTCACTAGCACATCCCCCATAGGCGGCGCGTGAGGCTCAGGTTTGGGAAGGCTAAATAACTTTTTTTACCTGACGCTGCCCGCCTCCGGCGTCTATAGAAAAGAGATCAACTCAGTGTGCAGAGTTTAAATCTCTCAAGTCATATTACAGGATAAAGGAAATACAGTTTAAACTGCTGTATGCAGAGAAGACGCCGACGTGTCGCACATATCATTCATATTACATCATCAATCAGATCATCGATCATATAATATCATAATATATCATATATTTCCTTATCTGAGTCAGCTTCTCCAGCCGTGCAACACTTACAGTGTCACATATTGTATGCAGAAGTATTATTTTAAGCAACACATTATGTTGACGAAACACTCGAGTCAAATGTAATTAAAGTCAGATCCACTCGTGTCTTAGACGTGAACGCGCTCTCAGCTGGTGAGAGAAACCCTGGCTTGATTTACCGAGTTGATAACCAGCGTCGTAGGACCGCTTAGCGAGATCTCGTTTGTTAGTTTGTTGTTGTTAGTTTGTTACTCAAACATATCCAGGGTCTGTTGAACTGGCTTCGTAGTACAGGGCACAGGTGGCTAGCAGCGCTAATGTCAAAGACACAGACATTATACATTATATTTGTATTTTACCAGGATGCAGTGACACAAATATTTACATATTTACATTTACTATCTACAGCACCCGCCGCCCCTGACATCCCCCACTCCCCCCGTTGACAACTTACTAGCGGTACCGAAGTGGGCCGGTCGAGAGTCCCGGGATGATTTTTAGTCCCATTCCACCACTGGCTACATGACCGTATGATCGCCCATATTGACGCACCTAATTCCTAAACTTCTAACAGATACAACATAAACCGATCCTTCAGCCTCATATGAGCTCTCAGACACGTTCAAAATGAAACTGTCATCGCTGTCTGAGCTTGCTGCTGTGTGCGCCATCGTGCGTTTACATGCAGATGCTGGGATCCTGAATGGTGCAGCTGGAGCGCTGTGCCCGCAATGACGTCACACATAATTTGGCGGGACTTGAAGAATCCCAGAGAAGATCCAGAAAATGGTCAACATTGAAAGGCAGATTAATGGTTATCAAAGTACAAATATCCAAAATCAGTTCAGTAACGGTTTTCAAGGGGACAATATTTACTCAAATTGATGGGTTTGGATGATGGGGGAAACTCGTGTCACAGGCTCTTTAAGTCTACTTTATTTATTCTTTTACTTATTTTTTTCTTTTCTTTTTATCTGTACTTATTGAAAATCTTCCAATCGTCACATCATATTTCAGTGGTGCGTTTGTTTTTGGCAGGTGACCTATGAGGACGAGGGGACATACATCCAGAGAGACTTCTGGAATAAAGAGATCGCTTCTGTCAAAGTGGCCGTCACACGTGAGTTAGTCCACCGTCTTCTGTCTACCGTGTCCACCACGCCATGTCTGCTACTATCTTTTGTTTCTTTGAAAACATAACTTTAGGGTGAGTGTTAAACACCAGACATGTCTTCCTATTGGACTTGGGGTTATGCTAGTCATTCTCATCATTTTAGATGTTACACAAAATGGCCTATCTCACATCCACTTTCTCTCCTCACCATAGAAAGAAATGGTGATGATAATATCACATACTCCTCTTTCTCCTCCTCCTCCTCCTCCTCCTCCTCCTCCTCCTCCTCCTCCTCCTCCTCCTCCTCCTCCTCCTCCTCCTCCTCCTCCTCCTCCTCCTCCTCCTCACTATAATGAATACTAATGTAGATGCACGGCCTGTAGCTAAACCTGGCTACATTTATGACAGAGACACTCATAAACATCCATAGGGGCAGCATGAAGGTAGGATCAGGTGCAGCAGCACTTCAGATGATCACCAGTACCCAGCCTGCTCCTCTGTAACTGAACAAACAGACTCAGGCTAACCTAGCAACATTAAATCAGAGCAGGGGAGGTAACCATAGAAAAAAAAGTTGGCAATAGACAGTGACTTCAAAAGTATTCAACCCCCTTGAAACGTATCAGAATGATCTGGATTTCAAAGGATACTTGCACACATGTTCCACTCAGTATCAGCTAGAGCCAGTATGGCTGCAGTCTGGTGGGGTATCCAGCAGCCCGGCAGCCTGCTCTCCTCTGCAGATCTGCTCCAGGTGGTTCAGGTTGGATGAATGACGCTCGTGGATCGCAGCTTCAAACAGTGCCACAGATTCAGGACAGAATTGAGATCAATTGACCTGACACATTAGCAAGCCACTGTATCCATAACACAATATTACACTCTGCCCTACGGATAATATTTGGGGGCACAGTTCTTTGAGTCAAGCATTAGATAGGAATGTAAGCGTATTGCAATTATATTGCTATAGACTTAATCTACAAAACATTTATGCAAACTTTTTTTTGTGCCCAAGATATCCCTTTGCACGCTCAATGTGTTTGTTGTTGTCCTCTGTATTCCAGCCAGACACAACTACGAGAAGTGCGTGGCAGGAGAGAGCCTCCTCATCTCCCTGGAGGGCATCGACCTGGCCGACGCCGGCCTCTCCTTCTCTGGGGAGGCTGCCAACGTTACACTGGTGACAATATGGGATAGAAAATGGATGGAATGATGGATAGCTAGATGATGGGTAGATGGGGGATGGATAGATGGACGAATAATGAAAGAATAGTGAATAGAATAGAGGTGATAACTGGACGGGTCCCTGGTGGATCGCTGTCTGCCTCACAACTCTGTCTCTGTTTCAGTTACACGTGTCAAAGTCAATGGTGAGGTGCGTTAGCTGAACATAAGAAATATTACCTTTCTAAACATGGATTACCTTTTACAAGCTTTTCCGGGGGATTTAGATGTTGGACACCATGGATGACATTTAAAATATATATATTTTAAAAGCTGTTTAGAAACGGCTGGTGTTCAAGTGTGAATGTAGCTGTGATCCTCCTCAGGTGCGAGATGGTGCTCCAGTCTCCCAGGACCTTCCAAATTATTGGGACCGTGTTCAGACCCACTCCATTAACATCGAGATCAGGAACGTGAACTACAGTGATGAAGGACACTATACCCTGAGAGACCGCAGGGACCGCATGGTGTCAATCACCAGAATGGACCTGACAGGTTTTTATTAGTGACACACTTCTATTTTGATGAGTATATTTGGTCATACTTTAGTATGAAGTCTCCTTGTTTTCTGATGATCTTCAGTTCGCCCTGTTACATGTATTTACTGTTCTGATAAAAGCTCAACACTAGTTAGTGCAAATGCTGTGCCACAGCATTCCACTATAGTTCTTCAAATCTTTATAGAGTGGCGAAGTCACGCCCATCTACTTCCGGTCCATGGGACCTTATTTCTGAAAAATAATGTATTGAAGTCAATGGAGAGAGAAAACGTATCTTTCGATCCCGTTTGAATTGTGCCACGAATTACACACATGATGTTTGTCAATCTTAAAAAATAATTTCCATGTAGAAAAAGTCACAGTTTGTCGTAAAACTGTTGAAATATAAGACTATGAAAAATACACAACTAGAAAGACTACAAATCCCAGAGTCGCGGTCCCGCATGCTGGCTCTCACGGAACCGACTAACTCCCCTTGTGTGTATGTACAGCTCTCAACGTGCCCAGACTTGGAGTGATTTTCACCTCTTTTAATACTTTCCGCCTCATTCTGAAAGAAAGAAGTGAAATGTTCCAACATGACGGCCATCTTGGTGTGTGGTGCGAGACGGGAGAGGTAGTTCATTGAGCGGTTTCACACAAAACAAAAGTGTTACTTCACAGTTTTACGACACATTTTATTTTTTTTGACTTGCAAAATTATCTTTGAAATTGACAAACATCATATGTGTAATTTGTTGCACAATTCAAACGGGATCAAAAGATAATCTTTCTCTCTCCATTGACTTCAATACATGATTTTTCAGAAATAAAGTCCCATGGAGCTCCGCCGGAAGGGGAGGGACTTCGCCTCTCTATTCTTCCCCTTCATCTTCTTATTTCAGCCAATACTTTGGCTCTCCATAACTTCAGCATACTTTCAGCTACAGAAACCATTCAAATATTAAACTATTCAGCCTTTTCAGGAATCAATGGGAAACCTTCAACTTTTTTAAAATATGTTATACTTTTTAAAATATTCAGCTTTTTAAACTCTTTTTTTTTTAACATGGAAGTCATTGCAATGCATTTGAGCTGTAACAATTTGATTCAAAGCATTTCACTTCTCTGCATTTCTCTGCTAAGTTCAGCAACACACTTACTTGGTTTCTGTAGCTAAAAGCAACTACCATTCAGCTAATAACATATTCAGCTTTTTCTGCATTTTCAGCTAAATTCAGCCACAAATATTCACAGTTTACAGCATTCGCACGCATTTTCTGCAGGAAATGCATTTTCTAGTTAGTGCGAATGCTGTTTACAGCATTCCACTATAGTTCTTCAAATCTTTATTCTTCCCCTTATTTCAGCCAATACTTTAGCTCTCCATAACTTCAGCTTATTTTCAGCTACAGAAACCATTCAAATATTAAACTATTTAGCCTTTTCAGGAATCGGTGGGACATTTTTGATATCTTTTACACTTTTTGAGATATTGAACTTAGTTTGGAGCTTGGTAGAGAGGCTTTCTTCAGATTTTAACATTAGCGTGGATGGAGCAGCTCATTAAGTCTAGAGTGCTTTGATCTCAAAACAGAGTGGAGCAGTGCTTGAAATTCTCCCGAAAAAATGTTTTAAATTTTCCATAATTCCCAAACCCTACACTCCTCAGACATATTTTTTCATGAAAAACGTAGGAAAACCTCTCCTAGGTTGGGAAATAAAAAATAATTAAGAAAATATATTAAACAAAATGCCTCTTGAGGGCATGAAGAGACAAAAACGTTTCAAAAAGTCCACCTAGCTCTCATTAGACTCCCATGTAAACAATTTCCAGATCTTTCTTCAGAGCAGAAAGAAGTACACTTTAGACAAACTGCTCCCATCTCCACATTTTACACACAAAACCCAAAAAAAAACATATTTCAGTTCATTGGGGTTCCCTGATGCTCACGGTCTGGTCATTTTTTTATAAGAGCCATCGTTTTTGAACAGGTGGCAAAATTGTCAGATATAATCCTCAATGCATTCTTATGGGACTCAGTGCTGCAGTTGGTTGCCATGGTGTTGCTGGGCAGATTGGGGCCACACACCTGAGTGACATCATCTAATCAGAGCAGACACGCCGACAGACAGACACACACACACACACACACAGACAGACAGACACACACACACACAACACACACACACACACACACAGACAGACAGACAGACAGACACACACACACACACAGTGAGGCTGACACCTCCCCCCCCTCTTGTGTCCCCCACAGATCACCATAATGACGCAGAGGGAAACCCCCTCCTGGCTCTGCTCTTGCTGCTGGGCATCCCGGCTGGGATCTGCTGCTGCTGTCGGAAAAATATTTTTAAGAAGAAAGCCCCCCACGCTACAATGCTGCAGGTACTGCATCTGGAGAAAGTTTGACTCTTTTTTTAATCTGTTCCTGCAATATGACATTTGACAAGACTGACTGTTATTTAATCTGAGATTTACAAATGATCAGTTATGGAAATAATTATTAGTCACAGCCCAAAACAATGGATTGCCTCATCTTTTGTCTCTTTCTCCAGAACTCCCCACATGTAATTCACCCCCCCCCCTGTGGTCCTGTTGGACCTGCTCCCCCATACAACACTCCAGGACAGCCAGGCGTGGTGAGACTCTAAAGAGCTGGTGGCTGCTCTTTCTTCACAAACACGTCTTCATATAGTTGGCTATGTATTGCACAGGTGCGCAGCGTGATGTGTGGTGTTGTGTTTGTGTGTTCACAGGTGTACTACTACGGGCCGGACCCCAGCATGGTACTGACACATCACCACACACTTCATCCATTTACATGATCATTATGAAACTTCTCTGGTGTAGTGATTGTGCAATGCTCATTAAAGGCAAGTGTGCTCTTGTGTATTAGGGTCCTGCAGTCCATCCTCCCCCCGGCCCAGGGCAGTGGAACGCCCCCCCCCCCCCGCTCCTGTTAGTATCACACTACAAGCGTGCTTACCTAAGTTTCCATGAATGTGATTAGCCCAGCCAAGTACTCTGACAGCACTAAACCCACACAGCTCTATGCACTTTATTCAATGCTGATTCTGGTTTTAGCTAGTTCTCTGTTATTATAGACTCTAGATTCTCTGTGATCCTGCCCCCTCCCTCACTAATCTAGCTCCTTTTCTTTGGTCTGCAGGGATTCAACCCGGGGTACCCAGGCTACCCCCCCCAGAACCCTTCCTATCCTCCTGCTGGTCCAGCTATGTTTCCCCCTGCCCAGCCTCCACAATGGAACGATTCACCACCAGGCCAGTACCCCCCTGGACCTGCAGCGCAAATGGTACCAGTTCTTGTTTGACATCATTCAAACACATTTACTAATGCTATAGCCGAATTACACAAATTGCAAAAGAGTTCACAATGTTGTCAAAAGTAAACAAATCTCCTGCAAATTTAAATGACAAATGCCGGTTCTCTCCACCTGTGTGCAGGGCTATGCTTCAGCTCCAGCCATGTACAGTGCTCCACCTGCAGCCGCCAGTGAGCATGCTCGGGAGGAGGTGAAGACCAGCAGCATGGCAGCCTCCCCCGCTGACCCCCTGCTGACTGCCCCATCACAGGTACACACACACACACACACACACACACACACACACACACACACACACACACACAGTGCTCCTTCCACTGCTAACCTCTAATTTAAGTTTCAGATAAGATTTGTGTTTGTTCCACATCACTTATATAGAACCCTTTATGGTGGGTTTTTACAGTTTTTTCTACAACTGGTAACAACTTTTTCAATACTACTTTTTCAATACTACTGTGGATCCCATTTTGACACATAATGCATTCAATGACCACCTCTCTTAATATTAATTTAGTGCTGTCGTTCTCAAACTCCCCATGTGCATATATGACGCTCATTACATGGGAAAATGTATTGTGCATTATAGTGAAGAAAAGGACTGAACTGGGCAGAATAGTTGCAAAAAATAAAAACATGTTTGACACCTGCAGAGCACGTGTCAAACATGTTGCTAAACATGATCATGTGTCTAAATGACTAAAATACGGAGCCTAGAGTCCCATGAAGGCCCCCTCCCTCAGCAGAAAAGAAGGCCAACAAGCCATCCATCTGCTGTTAATCCCCAAGGTCCCCCTCGTCGGGTCCTTTTTTTTTCACGACACTGTGTCTCAGGGGATCTTAATATTTAAGAACCTATTAATGTGTTCAGCTAACTGACGATACAAACCATTTTTACCACAACAAAACACAAGTCTCATAAGAAGCATCTAAATGACCCCTGAGCGAAAAATGCTAACGCACTTTGGCACAGAACTCAAGATAAAAGATACCCTTATCAGCTGCACATACAAGATATCCGATTAAAGCTGAGGTTCCACAGACTATTTAGGAATATAGTATCATCACTGAGTGATCCGAACTATTGACAGGGGAAGCAAACACAGACATCACAACTTTACGGAGCTTTTACGGGAGATCGTCTCACCGTAGCTGTCAATCTGATCAAAAGACGTGTTCAATGGCATTAAAACCAGAAAAAACGCGGCTGAATCTGTTAATCCATAGGTTGATAATGTTTCTCTGGAATATTTTTTTAAAATTTATAATCCATAATTCTATTTTTATGTAAAAATCGGAGAGTAAAAGTTAGCTGCTAATGGTAGCCACCAGAGTTATCGCCGCTTCCGGTTTTGGCTATGCGTCAGTCTCACACACACACATTACCAAATAAGGAGTATGTGGGAGTTCCTCTCGATTCCATTGGCTCTGACGGTTAGAAAGAGATGTCAATCAGCAAAATCCAGCAAGAGGGGCCAGAGATATGGAAAATCCACCCAAATGACCCCAGCAGTGTTTTTTTTGCTAAATCTGTCTAAAAAGGTCAAATATCACTTGTTTTACATCAATCTTGATACAGGGTACTTATTATATGTTGTAGTTTGGATTCCTAAAGCTTTTAGTCTACCATCCCATCATTCAAGGGTGGTTTTCACTATAAGTAATTTTTTTACTGTGTTCAATCTGAATTTACTTTAAAATAAAAACATCTATATTGATTCTGACATTTCTACATCCAACTCACAGGTGTAACCTTGCTTTGAGAAAAAAGATTATTAATGTAACCCTTTTAGAAGGGAAGATATGGTCATTTGTTCTGGGAATGTCATTTTCGAGCCTGAGACCTGAAAAACAGGCTCAGGGTTTAACCGGTTGTGAAGTATGCCGTTTAGTGGCGTATTGGTGCTGCTGCTGTGATAACAGCATCACACATGTTTTAGATTTATCTTCTGGAGGGACCTTCCAAAAAAGCTGTCTTCAGAGCTTCTTCAGTCTGTGTAACAAAGAGCAGCGTCTGGTGGTCTAGCGGTTGATGCCTCTTCACCTCATTGCATGTCTATGTATAATGTCACTTTTCCAATAAAAGACAAATATTATGACACATTTCATTTCCACCCTCCAGTCGGAAGCTGCATCCTCTCCTATGGCTCCTGTGGCCCCCTCCTCCACCAACATCCTACATTCTGCTGATGACGCCTTCCAGTTCACGATTGAAGGAGACAAAAACTCCACAAGCTTCCTTTAGGGTGCTTCACCTGGAGCAGCCTCCTCACTTTGTTCTTACAGGTGGAAACAATGGAGAGTAGATTATATTCTTTGTCTCCTTGATCCATATTTAATCCCATCTCCCTGAGGATCAAGTGTTTTTAGGCTCAATGAGCAATCATTTTTGGAATAAGGTCTACTGACTCTTTTGCAATGGGAGTCCATTATTTGGGGATGTAATTTCCAGAGTTGATGAGACAAAGAAAGGATTTTGATTCTTGAAGAGTAAGCATAGGGAATAGAAGTGTATTTTGATAATTTGATGAGTAAATCTAAACAGCTGGGTTCAAGTTACAAATATGTCTTAGCACATGCTTGTGTTTTTATCTACATTTGATTTATTAATCCTTTTTTCTGTTGTTGATTTGAGAGGAAGCCAAGCAATCAAGCAAAATACTTGAGAGGAAGTCGAAAGAGTCAGAGCCAGAATCAACAAAAGAAAAGCAAGCAGTTCACAGAGCCAACCATTGGCTGCCAACCATTGGCTGCCAACCCCTCAACAGTAACTCCTCCCAGACTGCCCGATATGAGAAATGCTTCACTGGCAAATAAGTTGCCTTGGGGTGTGTTCAGACTAAAGACTAAGAAAATTATTCTTTTTTATTTTACTATGAATTTGGAAATGTTTTCAGTCTGTGATTTTGGCAGTCTATGAGAGGATAAGACACTGACTGTAAAGGTGTTTAATATATCAAACTAATGTAAGTGTCATATTCTGAACACACCTTGGGGTAACATTACTTCTTCAACAGTGAATCACCATCTCAGGTTGGCTTACGTTTCAGTGTCATTTAAGACTCTTTCTTGGTGGCAGATCATATGAAACCCACATTAAGGTCCTTTGTATGTCAGGAGCATTCACTGTCTGGAGGCAGGTCGGGGTCTCTAGTCAAGCACTACCAGTTGGGTTATGCTTGGGCGGGTCTGATTTCAGAAGTTCACTCAGATACTGACTTAACTGGAAGAACCGTTTTGAAATTGATAAACCAAAATCTACCTCATGTTTAGATTCTATGCCTCTTCATATGTCAACAGTTGTGTTTGTATTAGTCAATGTTATGATTGTGTAAAGAAAAATTGGTAATGGGTTTGGTGTAAGTACTCGGAACTAAAATGTTAGAATTGTACCAGAAGAACCACTCTGACTGCCTTTTAGCGTGGCCTCATACCTCCTGACTATTACAGCAAAAAAGCATATCACTCCATCCAGAGCACGTGTCCTAGACTTTATCACCAAACCAAGGAGCTGCATTGAGCTAGACAGTGCAGCGTAATGTTTGTCAGCTGCTGAGTCTGCCATGAAGATTTAAGAATACACGCACATTGATTTTTACAGACCAAGTGCCACCACACCAATATGCTTTGAGCTGTGGTACTTTGTTACTCTTTCATATAAGATCACTAAACAGTAGCTGGACGTCCCTCCTGATATCCAGATGGAGGCAGCAACATTCCTATCTAAAATGTTCACCAAAAATACACTAACAGGTGTTCATTCAACTGGAAATAGCATCAATAATGCCTTTCTTAACAGGATTGTCTTTGTCTCTGAAGGTGAGTTGACGGGTATGACCTTAGATTCATGTTGTGTCCTGCATATGATGGGGAGGCAGCTAGCTTTCTTTAGCCACTAGTTCAACTGAACAGCCAACTAAGGTCTGTTTTTTTTTTCAAAATCCTTTTTTTTGTTTCATGTATGGCAACCTCAAAATGAACTGTGGTTGAACATTTTTTTTTTGTAAATGTATTCAATGATACTAACAAAGTGTACATGTATTTGATGCTTTGGTATTGTAGAGTTGGAGACACCATCTACTGGCTTCATATGGTTGGTTCTTTGGTCTCTCCAGTTCCATCCCCCTATGGATACCATTAAACATTTGGATTCATACCTCTCATTTTATACCAAAAAGTAAAATATACACACTGTATATGGATGTGCAACTCTGTGTCAATGAAACTGTGCATGAATATGAGATTCTGGAGTGTGTTTAATTTCAAAATCACAATTACAATGATTGTACAGGAGACAGTTAGAGGAAGATTAGGACTTGATGTGACACTGATATAGACCCATTGGGAAATAACTGTATAATAGAGGATGGGTGAATTGAGAGACACTGTCCAGCTCAATCCTATATTCAGAAGGCAGCTTTTTCTGTTTGGATTCCACAAGCTGTCACCATCAGTGCTATAACTCCTCACTTTACACATTTCCGGGACTTCATTACATTACATATCATTTGTTAGACGCTTTTATCCAAAGCGACTTACTGTATACACTTACATACTCAGTACTGTGGACAATCCCCACAGGAGCAATTTGAGGTGAAGTGTCTCAGGGACACAACGACATGCTGACAGCAGTGGGACTCGAACTTGCTACCCCCTGATTTGAAGTCCAGCACTCTATCCACTGAGCCACAACCACCCCAGACTTCATCAGATAACAGCTTTGACATCATCCCATTACACAGTGATTTGCCTGCTGGTTTAGGTGGGGTAGGTAGTCTAGGTTTGAACCTGTGTTACTATTTTTACACTCGACAGAACAAGTGGTTGTGCCACCTCAATAGCAAGGACCATGCCACTGATCGTTAGACGTTTGATGAGATGAAGAGTATTGGATATTGATGATGGATGGGAGCATAAGAATGGATGTGGGGGGAAAATGTGTCAGTTTAAGCCGGGTGCATGGTCTTATTTTTCCTGGCATTGGCTTTAACTCTTTGAAAACTAAAAACATCACTTTTTAGAATGGATCCTTACATTTCAACAGCTAGTACATTCAGACAACACAGAAACGTTCAACAGTCAAAGTAATCCACTACAGTTTGTACATGGAGCCAAATTCTACTTAGATACAACATTCATGTCCCATGTCATAGTTTTCCCAAACTAACAGCAGAACTTCCTGTGGTTTCAACCACTTGATGTAGAACCAGTTATTTCTGGTTCCCTATGAGGACTGTCATTCACTCTCAGGTTGTTCAAAATTGTTAAACAGTGCAAAAGGGCCGAGCTGTTTGAGGCAAACTCGCTGGCAGTGGATAGGCTGCATAGATTGAGTGTACTGTGTACTGAATACTGAGTGGAACTGAACAGTGTGCTCGCTCTGACTGGCTTCATTCAGGCATCTCGTATAAACACATGCATGAGCAAAAAGACATTGATCACCTACAACTGGGGTAAGAAAGAAAGACGGCAAAAGAATGATGTTTAGACAAGAGCTGGGAGAGACTTTGTTACAAGTAAAAGTCCTGCATTCAAAAAGTAGAAAAGTATTATCATCAAAATATAGTTATTAAAGTAAAGTAAAAGTATTCATTGTGCAGATTGGTCCATTTCAGAATAATATATATGATATGTTTGATAATGATTGATCATGAAAGTGTTCTCAAAGCTGGTAAAGGTGCAGCTAGTTTGAATGACTTTGTATACTGCAGGGTAGCTGGTGGATTTACTCCAGGTGGAACTACAGTCTGATTTAACACTTGATTATATTTCACATCATTCATCCACATCTGTGAAGTAACTAAAGGTATTAAATACATGTAGTGGAGGAGAAGTACACCATGTACCTCTGAACTGAGCAGCACGTCCTCTCAGGACAGTTATTCTGCCCCATTCATGTTTTCAACCCGTCTGTCGCCGTGTCTCAGGACCGATCTGCACATTTAAAACAAAGGTCCACTTGATGAACAGATGAGATAAAACGAATGATTACATTTAAATTCAACCAGTGGTCCTGGTGTTACTTTAGACAGAACTTTACCTAATGAAATATATATTTAACATACATATGTATAGACAGTATATGGTGCTATGCAATATTAAATGCAGCACAAATCAATTTTATAAATGTTTGTATGCAAGTGTTTATTATTTATTACATTGAGATTTTTGACGAGGAAGAATCTTTTTCAGTTTGCTCAGACAATATTAGAACACGGCTGCTGTTCGGATGTTGGAATGACCATTCTGAGAGAATTGTGGAGTTCTGCAAAGCACTAACTGAAGGTAATATACCCTCTGCTGCAGTTCTGCACATACTCCAGATCGACACAATGTTTTCGGATCGCATTCATGATAAAAGAACATTGATTGAATGCTGCACACATACATCTGAGTGTAAAGTTACCAGTCTTTGGCTTTGTTTTCCACTGGAAGGCTTTTACAACATTTCCCCAAAGACATTTTTATACAAGAGTTTAACAGTGATATTTGGAATCTGTTCATCTGAAGGCACAATATTACTGAGGACAAATGACACAATCACTGAGCTGCTGATCACTGAGCTCACTAAAAGGAAGGGTAATGCTGGTACATGAGCAACACTGAAGGCTTGGATCTATCCTCTGTATATCAGTCTGCATCAGAAAAAGAGTAGAACCAACCAGAATGTTCTCATTATGAGAAATGCCAGAAAGGTCTTCACCTAAATGAAAGTAAAGTATATTACTATATATTTACGTTGATAACAGTGTTTGGAATATTTTGTAAAGCTCACTCATTAGCTTTCTTTCCAAGAGTGGGATAAAAACGTTGATATCATTTCCAGGCACATGTGAAGAGTATCCGTCTTCTCCTCTCACTCCTGAGTTGGGATAAAACATGGTAACATTGAACATAAAGGCTGTGGCACAATGTTTGGAGAAACAGTAAACAAAAAGACCTAGACTAAGAAATGTCCACTTCCTGGAATGATTAAGTAATCAAATCGTGTCAGTAACAAATCATATCAAAAATGTCTGCCCTGAATGTCCAGAAGACACCAGCGCTCCATCGTCTGTACATGTGGCATTGGACTTCTGCCCGTCCCCTTTTCACTCCTCCGTCCTCCTCCACCTCTCCATCTCTCTCAGCCGTCTCTCCAGGGTCTTCACCTGCTCCTCCAGGTGAGCGGTCTTATCGACTGCCGTGGATCTCTGCAGAGAGCCGACCCCAAGCAGCACACACACACACACCAGCACAGCCAGCCGGACCACCATGGTGTGTGTGCCCACACTGTGGTCCCTCAGGATCAGCCCGAAACACACCAGAGCCACGCCCACTTTCAGCAGCCACATAGCCCGCCTCAGAGTGGAGGCAACCAATCGGAAGACGAAAGAGATCAGCGAGTAGCCAATGAGAGCCACGATCACCCACTGGGCAACAAAGCTCACCCCCTCTGGGCTCACTCTGCTGACGGGGAGCTCAGCTGAGGATAAACAGGAGCACAAGGACAGCGATCAGTAATATCATGCTGCAACCACTTATATACTATCCTCCATGAAGAAAAGAGAAATCTATTTATCCAAACTACCAGGATCCATGTTCAGTTACAAAATGCACTTAATGTTTAACCAAAAACATTCATTTTTAATACGCGACCAACTATTATTCAGCCAATTGGCCCATTATTTCCTTGATTAAGTATTTGGTTTATGGAATGTCAGTCCAGGGGACACCTTTAAATGTGAAAAGGTGATTTATTACAACAAGAGACCAAAAAGAGCAAATCTTCACTTTTGAGATGTTGGAAGCAGCAAACTTAGTTTTTCCAGCAACTAATCATTTCAGCTCTTCAATAACACTGAGTTATTAACAATATTACCCTTGTTTATGTTTTTCTGAGTGATTGTTATTTATACTATGAATCAAAAATGTAACACAGGTCAGTTTCTGATCCGACTTCTTTTAGAGATGAAGCTTTAAGACTGAGACTGGACATCCGCAGTCGAGTCATGCAGGATTGAGTTTTAGCCTAAATCAGTATTTCAGTTACCCCCCTTTAGCTTAGCGGTGGTGATGTCATGTGACCATGATGTAGATCCTTACTTCTAGCGATTGTGTTTAGGCTATTTGAAAAGTGGTGTAAATAAATATGTGGCGATTATCCTGCCAAGTATCTTAACGTGTGTTAGCCCCTGATCTTGTTCTCTGTGATACTCAGAATCAGAAAGCCTTTATATGTCCCACAGAGGGGAAATGTAAGATCCCATTGCCTTTGTCGGAGGGCTTCTGATGCTAACCTCCGGCTTGGCCTACAGGAAACTCTGATCACTGCACCACTTTCTACCTGCGATGGACAGTAGCTGATGTGAGGGGTGTCTACCTTGGATTCCAGCAGCCTGCAGGAAGTGTGACGCATACTGTAGGAGAACGTTCAGACCCCCGGACAAACTTCCTGCCACAACACCCAGGACCTGAGAGAAAGCCTGGAACAGAGGGGGGGGGGGGGGGGGGGGTAGGTTAACACAGGAGACATGCCTCAGACCAGTGGTGGAAAAAGTGCTCAGATTTTTTTTTCTTCAGCCCTTTACTTGAGTAAATATACTAATATCACCATGTAAAAACACTCAATTTCAGGTAAAAGTACTGCATTGCAGAAAAAACTCTTAAAAACATTAAAACAATTTTAAAGCAAAGCTGCTAATCTGCACATTCCAGAAGCTGGACATTGGAAATATGTGTAACAGATAACTTCTTATACTCGGGTAAAGTAGCCTACCTCAAAAGTGAGCTTAAGTACAGTATCCGTTTTGCACTGCACCAATGTAACCCGGAAGTAACCTACACTTTGTGTGACCGTGTTACAGCTGATGTTAAACTGTCCACAGATAATTAAACATTATTGTTGCCATGTCGTAGCGGACATTGCCCTGTGTTCCCGGGCTAACACGTTAGTCAACGCAGCGCGCTAACATCACCTTGTGCACCGACAGCAGCGTCTGCTCCCCGGCCAGCCTGCCCAGGTAGCTCCTTCCCTCTCCGGCTAGATCAGCTAGGGTCTCCCGCAGATCGTGGATCATCCCGGGGCTCTCTAACACCTTCTCCCCCGATACAGGATTAGACAGCCACAGGGCGCTAAGCACACACAGCCCATGGACAGCTGTTTGATATGAATAAGCGAACATATTGAAAGCGGGTCAAATCAATTTAGAAGTAGCCTAAGGTAAACAGCACCGGAGGCTTCACAGGATGTGGGATAACGAATAAAAAAGAGATGAGTGCCCCCCACTGGGCTGAGGGGGCAACACGTTTCCTTGACGGCATTACTTTTCCTCCCCAATAACACCAACCCTGTAGGCTTGTTTGAGGTGAGCTGCGGCGCTTGCCTCGAGAGTAGACGAGAATAGCCGTTTTAGCAATTTGATATGCTGTTGTAAATAGCCTACTCCTGTTGTCTGCTGTGTTCAGACTCAAGTCATGTTAGCAGTGGCGTAGCCACCATAGGGCCAGGGTGGGCCCAGGCCCACCCAGTTTACTCATTGAAGAAAAACAATGTTAACGGAAACTCTGCTGCACGGTTCCCTCGTCCCTTGGAAAAGGCGGAGAGGTGGGTGTTTTTCATTTGCTGGTGGACAGTCCGGAGAGATATACACAGGGTTGTGTTGTAACGGAATACATGTAACGGCGTTACGTAATCAGAATACAAAAATCAAGTGTATTCAGCTGGCGTTACATTTGAAAAACGAGTAATCTGATTACACTTTCGTAAACCTGAAGTGAATACATTTTGGAATACTTATTGGAATTATTGGTGGAAAAGTTTCCTCAGAAAATGTAATATTCATTGCCGGCAGAACCAGGCCCGGCTCCAGGACGAAATGACTGAGGGGGCTGATAAAAAATAAGAGGGGGCGATTTCTTTTTTCACAACAACGAAAAATCCTGGCAATGTAATGAATTGACACACCAAGCGTTTTTCCTTCTCACTGCTATTCTGGATTGACCCCTCTCATTCTGTTATTTTCCTCTGATCTTTAACGATAGATAGTACATTATCAGATGGCTGCACTTTGGTTAACAGACTAACATTGATTTCCTCAATGTATAAATTGACAGGCTCTGTAATTATACCATAACCGTTTCTCCTCTATCCCTTAACTCGTCTTCCTATCAGATTTACTATCTACTCTATATCAGGATTAAAAAAACAAATAATCTGGGGATTTTTTATTTCCAGGATTGAATGTTCAAATCAAGGCCTAAAACCTGGCATTTCATAACAAAGTGACTAATATATAAACCAAATGTAATATTAGATCAAATACTACACCAAATGGACAGTCCCCTGGTTTGTCTCTAACTGCCATGAGAAAAATCAGATCAATGTTCCAAAATCCGTCACTAGATGTCGCTCATTGTCCCGATACGGTCAGAGCCGGCCCGACCCATTAAGCGACATAAGCGGCCGCTTAGGGCCCCGCCGCCACTAAGGCCCCCCTAGCAAAAAAATGAAAAAATAATAATAATCTCAGTACACCGTCGCCGTGATAAGTGTGTTTAATTAATTGTGTTAATATGTCTAGATTGCCTACTCTCAAAGTCATGTATTATTTTATTGAGTCAATCATATATAATACATTAACCGTGCTTTACCTGAACCTCATCATGACACTAGAGAGGACGGCAGGACTGACGGCAGGATTGTAATTTCCCGTGTGCAGTGAATTCAAAGGCAAGACACCACCAGACCAACCAGAGAGTTGAATGGAAATGTAATTGCTCTAGCAACTCCAACAATTGGCCTAGCAACGGCTTAGCAACCCCATTGTTTTGTTATGAAAACGCATCTATATATATTTATACACATTCTCGCTAGATCTATCAGGGGTCGTCGTAAGTTAAAGCGTGAACTGTTGGCTAATGTTGTTATAATTCTCAGTATGTGAACACAGATCGAAAATGGAAAGATTTCTCACAAGTCAGGCGTAAACGACCGCGATCTCCAACGGAGCCGGACATCCATGTGTGGGTGTGTCTGTCTGTTTGCGGTGTGGTTAAATGCCACAGCATGCCAGTTGAAACAGTGAACGATCGTTATTGTGTACTTGTATGCTTGTATGCTTAGGGTGTAATGGTATTACATTACATGTCACTTGTTAAACACTTTTATCCAAAGCGACTTACATACTCAATACTGTGGGAAATCCCCACAGGAGCAATTTGGGGTGAAGTGTTTTGCCGAGGGACACAACGACATGCTGACTGCAGTGGGGTTTGAACCTGTGACCCCTTGATCCGAACACCAACAGTCAACCCACTGCACCACACGCCTATTATACAAAAATATTGTAGGAGCACAGAAACAGTGTTCAAATGTTGCTTTTACCAACTTATGTTGGTTGTGCTTACCTTGCAAAGTAATGTTATAAGTGTCAAAGGAATGTTTTAATGTAAATATTAATGATATTATTGTAGCGTGTCCAAGTTAATAGTTATGTCAGTTATCAGATGTGCACAGTTTAGTACATTTGTAAAGTTATTTAGGCAATGTTGTTTGTGGGAGTTAGTGAGAGACCACCCCTTCCAGGGGCCTGTACTACGAAGCTGGTTCAACCTAACCTGGATATGTTTGAGTTAGCCGGTTGGCCTAATCCAAAACATACGCACTCTCGCTAAACTGTACTACGACGCGGGTTATCAAGTGGATCGCTCAAACCAGCCGTGCCCTATCTAGTTAGGTGCGCGTTCACATGAAAGGGGTGGTATTTGGAGCATTCGACCAATCACAAACATGGAGAAGCATACTGACAGCGCAGCGCGTCACTTCTGAATGAAAAGTCAACTATAATATTAGACATATGAAGAAGTTAAACTTTAAACATCCATGACTTAAACACTTTATCCAGGATAAAAGCCACATAGCTGCACCTGCAAGGTGAATACAGCTGGTAAAAGAAAAAGTGTTTGAATGCGTACATTAACAGGTTTATGATATCACTGCCCCGTCTAAAACATGAGTGGATCTGACTTTAATTACATTTGTCTCGAGTGTTTTGTCAACTTAATGTGTTGCTTAAAATAATACTTCTGCATACAGTATGTGACACTGTGAGTGTTGCACGGCCTTATACGGCTCAGCTGACTCAGATAAGGAGATATATGATACATTATGATGTGATATGCCGCGGACTGTAGGCCTACTTAATGTTACTCTGATCCGGTTACTTATGTTGTGGCAGATTGTTACGTGCCGTAGTGTTTGTGTGGTCGTGTGTGTGTTTTTCCCTCTCTCCCTCTGACTCCCCAGGTGCAACCTGATTGTCCCCAGGTGCAGCCTCTCCCCAGGTGCTCCTAATTCCAAATCAGGGCCTCCATATAGGACCGGAGGAAGACTGCAGTGGGGTCTCCTTTTTTCCTCCTCTGGCTGCATGTGTGCAGACCTGTGTCTTGCCGATTGATAGGAGGGGAGCTCCGTGATATAGTGATGCTGTATTATTCTGTGCAAGTTGGCTGGTGAGCCCGTATTCCTGTCGTGTTCATTAAACGACTTGTTCGTTACTTAGAGATCGGTTTTCTCTCCTTTTTGTCGTGCTTGGTCATCCTTGTGTGTTGTTACTTCCCTTTGTACCCCCTAGATTTAGAAGGGAACGTAACATGGGGACTCGTCCGGGATCTTTCAGAAAAAGAGTGAGTATTTGTTTGTGGTTTAGTGTGTTTGGTAGCATTGACTTCCTCAGTTTAGACAGGGGAGTGTCTAGCTGGGCTGAATCAGTCCTTCCTTCAGGCACTCATTTTTTATTTTGCCTTTTTTATTTTCGGGGTAATCCTGGGTGGGGTTTTATTCCCTGTTGGGGGCAGGCGATTCAGGGTTTCGGCCGCTGATGTTTGCCTTTAAAGTCGCCTCGAGCCCGGCACGCCCCAGAAGATAGTTGGGTAAGTTTGGTAGGCAGGATCTGGGGAAGTTTGTAAAAAAACAATTTTTTTTAAATAATAATTAAAAATATATATATATTTGTAAGTAGCCGTTGCTAAGGATGGCTTTTGTTTTGGAGCAGTTTGTGGCCAGTCCTACTGTGGGTCAGCTAGACTGCTATAGGAAGGTTGATTTGCGGTTAGTTGCTGGCCATTATCACGTTTCTGTCTCCTCTGTTCTTGTTAAAAGTGAACTCAAGGCTACTTTGATAACTGGACTAGTTGAACAGGGGGTTTTGAGTCGGCCTACTTTAGTGGAATCTCCTGGCACGGTGGCCGGGGCTGTAGCAGCAGTATCTCATGGTGGAGGCCACATTGGTGTTACTCCTGGTGTTCAGAGTGCTACGGAACAGGCAACTTTTCACCACACCTCAGTTTGGCTCGTTCTCGGCAGGATCATCACCTACGGGGTCTAAATTAGATGCTAGGGTAAAAGTCCGTATGGCTCGTCTCCAGTGTGAGAGGGAGGAGCGTGATAGGGATTTTCAGCTCAGGAGGGAGCTGGAGATCAGGAAGCAGGAGCTGGAGGCAGACACTGCTGTCCGGATGCGTCAGCTAGAACTCCAAGCAGCTGTGGTGGGTGATTCTGCAGTTACACCTTCTGGACCTGCTGCCTCGTTTGACGTGAGCAGGCATATTTCTTTGGTCCCTGTGTTTCGTGAATCAGAGGTGGAAGTCTATTTTGGTGCATTTGAGCGCATTGCTGCTGCTCTGCACTGGCCAGAAGATGTGTGGGCTATTCTTTTACAGTGCAAGCTAGTCGGCAAGGCTCAAGAGGCTTGCTCTTCTCTTTCTGTCGAGGATAGTTTGGTGTATGACAATGTGAAAGGTGCTATTCTCAGGGCATATGAGCTTGTGCCTGAGGCCTACAGGCAGCGTTTTCGCGGCCTGAAGAAAAATTCTGGCCAAATGTACGTGGACTTCGCGAGGGAGAAGAAAGTCCTCTTTGACAGGTGGTGTAGAGCGTGTAAAGCGGATGACATTGCTTCAGTGTGCGAGCTAATGATGTTAGAGGAGTTTAAAAACTGTGTACCGGAGCGTACGGTAGTCTATTTGACTGAGCAGAAAGTGACTACCCTTCAGCAGGCTGCCACTCGGGCGGACGAGTTTGCGCTGATACACAAGAGCGTTTTTTTTCAGCGTGATCCTCCTCAGCGGGACATTTATCGTAGAGCTCCTGACAATTACGTTCCCTGTGCCAGTGTTCCATTGTTAGGTCCCAGGATAAACAGAGCTTGTTATTTTTGACTTGACCCAGGTCATATGGTAGCAGACTGTGCAGCTTGGAAGAGAAAGCAGACAGTGGATGGCAAGCGCCCAGAAGGGGTGGGTTTGGTTACAGCAGTGTGTCCTAGTGGACGGGCCACTGTTAACAAAGGGCCTGATGAGTGTTTGAAACCGTTCATCTCTACTGCCTTTGTCTCCCTGTCAGGAAAGGTGGAGGACC